TGGTCTCGATCTCTTGACCTCGTGATCCACCCGCCTCGGCCTCCCAAAGTGCTGGGATTACAGGCTTGAGCCACCGCGCCCGGCTAAGAAAGACAGTTTCATAGAGAATTTAATGAGTGTGTTTTTGATTGTACTGGAAAGCCAAACAAATTTTGGACTATGTGGTGCTGTTTGGAGAAGCAACTGAAACGTTCTCCCGCTCTAGACACAGTTACTGCTATTTTTTTATTGTACACTTGGTACAGAGCTGTGATTATTGTTTTTATTTATTTATTGTTTGAGACTGAGCTTCACTCTTGTTGCCCAGGCTGGAGTGCAATGGTACGATCTTGGCTCACTGAAACCTCTGCCTCCCCGGTTCAAGCGATTCTCCTGCCTCAGCCTTCTGAGTAGCTGGGATTACAGGCCTGCGCCACCATGCCCAGCTAATTTTGTATTTTTGTTGAGATGGGGTTTCTCCATGTTGGTCAGGCTGGTCTCGAACTCCTGACCTCAGGTGATCTACCTGCCTTGGCCTCCCTCCGAAGATTATTATTATTATTTGAGATGAAGTTTCGCTCTTGTTGCCCGGGCTGGAGTGCAATGGCACGATCTCGGCTCACTGCAGCTGCCTCCTGGGTTCAACTGATTCTCCTGCCTCCGCCTCCCAACGAGAGACGGGGTTTCACCATGTTGGTCAGGCTGGTCTCAAACTCCTGACCTCAGGTGATCTACTTGCCTCGGCCTCCCAAAGTGTTAGGATTACAGATGTGAGCCACCATGCCCGCCCAGAACTGTGATTCTTTCTGTTGTTGTTGGTTTTTTTTTTGGTGGGGGCAATCTCCACGTCTAATTCTTTTTCCTCCCATGATACTCAGCACGCAGCTCGGAACACTGTAGGTGCCAGTGAATACTAAGTGAATTTAACCTACCTTTTATTTTTTATAAAACTGGGTCTCGCTACGTTACTGAGGCTGGTCTCGACTCCTGGCCTCAAGCAATTCTCCCGCCTCTGCCTCCCAAAGTGCTGGGATTAGGGGTGACTCACTGTGCCCACCCAGGATGTGTCTTTAATAGGTACATCTTTCAATCCATTTTTCCAAAGCAGCTTCTATATTCTACTTTCCAGCAACCCCCTAGAAATAAGCAGTATACTTCTACCCAGATCTCAACCACACTCTCGCCCAGAAGTTAACTTTGGGGTGAGTAAAGTTGGCGCTCAAGTTGTCCTTCCGCAGAACCTTCGCTCGGGGAAGCTCCCGGGGCCACTTCCCGCCAACCCCTCGCTGCAGCCCAGCCCCACCCGCACATCCCCGGGCGTGGCCGAGCGCGGCGCCTTTAAGAAGGGGGCGGAGCCCAAGAGAAAAGACAAAGCCCCTGGCCGCGCGCTCCCCCTCCCCCTCCGGCGCACCACACGGACAGTGGTGCCCGGATGTCGGTGTCGCCGTCGGTGACAGATGGCGCAGTGCCTGTATATGCGAGGGGGCCTCTCAAGCTTGACCTCCTTGAGTTCTCGGCCTCTCTGTTCTCCGCTGTCCGCTACTTTTAACTCCGCCGCCCGAGGCCCGCACGCCTGTCACCGGCGCTTACATAACGTGACCTTTCACCTCTTCAGACTGCCCTCTAGTGCGCTGCAACCCAACTACGCGACAGGGGCAGGGGGGCGGGACCCAGGTGCGGAGCGGCAGCTCCTCCAAGCCAATAGGCTGTGAGCGCTGACCAGCTCTCCGCCTATTGGAGCATTCGACACCGGCGCCACGGGGGAGCAAGTTAGTGTGTGCGTTGGCCGGGCCGGGGGGAGGAGGGGAATCTCCCGCCATTTTTCAATAATTTCCTGCGGTGTTGCTGAGGAGGAATCGTGACTGCCGGCCGACGGGACCCGAGGCGGGGATCGGCTGGGGGCTGCTAGGAGGCGCAGCGGTGTGTGCGGGAGCTCTGCGCCCTGGCGTTCCGCTCCATGGCTGTCGCGCGGCCGCGCCGGCGGTAAGGAAGCCGGAGTTCGCGCCGCCCTCTCACCCCTCCCCTCCCCCACCCCTCCCCCGGGCGCCTGGCGCTCGCTCCGGGCCGCGGGGCCTAGTGCTGCGCCGCGGGGCCGGCCCCAGTAGCCGCCCGTCCCCATCGCCGCCGCCGCCGCTGCCTCCGCCGCGATGGCGCCGCTCCTGGGCCGCAAGCCCTTCCCGCTGGTGAAGCCGCTGCCCGGAGAGGAGCCGCTCTTCACCATCCCGCACACTCAGGAGGCCTTTCGCACCCGGGAGTATCCTTTTCCAGTCGCACGGGCCGGGGCGGGCCGGGGTAGGGCCAGGGGCTAGCGGGGCCCGGTCGGCCGCGCATCCGCCGCCCGGGGCAGCTGTCAGCGCGCCCCGGCCGCCCGCGGGCCTGGACGCCGACTCTCAATCCGCTCCCGCCGATCCTTCCCGGGGATCCGGCGGGGGGGCGCGCGCCGGCCCTGGAGGCAGAAGGGCCAGCGCCGGCCGCCCCCGGGGCCCCGCCGGCGGGGAGCGCACCCCCCATCCCCATTACCGCCCCCGGGTCGGCTTTAGGGCCTGAGGATCCGGGAGGGAGGAGGCGGCGTGGGGAGGGGGAGCTGGATTTCTTGCTTTGCTTTTCACAATTTTTGTTTTTCTAAATTTAAATGAATCCTGCAGTTTAAGTTTTGAAATTGTACCCGCGCGGCCTCGTGATGCGGCGTGTGCAGATCTTCGACTGCGTCTTATCCCTGTCTCTGCGGCGACAGTTGGCATTTTTTCTTCTCCCGAGGGAACTTTAGGCCGGGGATGAACTGACAGGACTCTGGGGCTGGAAACTGGGAATGAGATTGCCCACTTAGAGGAAAGGGAAGGAAAAAACTGCTTCTGGATGAGCTGATGCCTGCCTTCCCTGGGCAGACACAGGTTTAAAATTTTGCAGGTTTAGAAGGAGATTGGTATTCGTTAAAAGTGAAATTAAAATAAAAATACCAAGTTTTTGTGTTGTATTTTGGGAACACGAAATTTGTTGTTTTAAAAAGGAAGCATCCTCTCGTCATGACTAAGATTTCTTGCATAAGCATTATCTTTTAGTGAAAAGTTATGCAGTTTTTATTTGCTTTTTTTAATGGGTGCTAGATGAATCGTTTTTGAGGCTTATCTGTTCAAAAAAAAAAAAGATTTTGGAATCAAGGTTTTTTTGTGGAGACTGAAAGCTTTAGGCGTGAAGGCTAATGTGTTGTGAGTTTTCTTAGCCCTATCTCTTCGAAAGGGTTTGATTTCTTCGTTTCTTGCTTGCTTCTGTATAGGAGGAAGCGTCTCTGAGAGCTATTTCGTTTCTCCCTGATTCTCACTTTAGCGCAGTACATTAGAGGATAATCTCGTTCTTGTTGGAGTGCGATTTGTGAGTGTGGAGTGCAATTTGTGAGTGTCCTTTTGTGAGGAGTATACACACAAAGGGACCTGGAAAATGAGTCCATACTGGAGGAACGCTCTTGGAGAAATAGAGCTTGTAGCCTCTTGGAGCTGAAATGGATCTCAGAGGTGGTCGGGTACTCGGGCTGGGTTCCCCGAGTTGGCCGAGAGAGTGGAGGTTGACTTGTTGAAGGTCATTTATAAAAGAGTTAGGAGTAGAATCCAGCGCTCTTCCTACCTGGTGCCTGTAAGTCAAATCAAGAGAAGAAGGTGGACTGTTACTCCTTCACTTTTTTTTTTTTTTTTT